TGGAGGCTGGAAGGGGGCGGAGGGGAGAAGGGGGTAGCGGAGCTGCAGGGGCAGAGTCGCGGAGGGCCGGCACCCTAGGTCCCCAGTATCAGACACGCGTTGTTTCGCTACCCTCTGGACAACGGCTAACTACCCTTCTTAAAATCCCTACTTCAATAAAATCTGAAACCTAAGATATAATCAAGCACGGGGCTAGAAGGAGGCCGAGCCACGATCTGCTTGGAGAAACCAGTGTGCGCTTGGTGTAATCTTGGGACACCCTTCGCTTAGGTTAGACATTGAATTTGGCAAGGGATGGGGTGGGGGGCAGTTCAGCAGCGTCAGGGAGACCTTTACCCTCATGTCAGACTTGCAGCTTCTCCAGTTTCAGCTCCTAGATTGATGTCTTAAACAGTTTCAACCAAATAATTTTTTCCCCCTTCTCAAACTGAAGTCTTTGAGCACCTGAATCCCTGAGGGATGCGTTTCAAATGCAATTCCCTAGGTCCTGCTTTCCACCCAGGCGGTATCAGGGACCTTTAGTCAGAAAGCAGCCTCAGGAGCATCCAGGGCTGCAGTTATGATAGGGGTGGAGACATGAGGGTGAGGGGTGAAGAGAAGGGTTTTTCTCTAAGGCATTGAGTTCTTTCGAACTTAGCCCAGGGCGGGTGGAGTGAAGGGGAAGGGGTCCAGGAGAGGGGTACCTCCCTCTCTCCTGGGAGGGAAAGGTCAGCCCAAACTTTCAGTCATAGGAATCTTGGCAGAGCCCTGTCTTGGTGTGGGGGGCCCCCTTGGGCATTGGTACAGTACTCAGAGGAATGCACAGGATTTCCATAGGCACAGATGATAAAGAACTTTGCAAAGTGACTAAATGACAAAATGGTGAGAGTGTGGATATTCAAAGCATGAGTTTGGCAGTCTGAGAAGTTACATGATCCACACCTGCTCTGAAGCTTTAGGGCAGTCAATCCTAAAGCAAGCCCCCAATTCCACAGTAATACATTGTACTGAAATGCTGGTGGCTGATTCCAAGTCTGCACAGGCCCCAATCGTCCTCCACACACAAAAAAAAAAAAAAAAAAAAAAATGTTTGTTAAGCGGGTTTGCAGAAGTCAGGTGGTGAGTTAACTTTCCTTGATCAGAGATCATGAAAACTACTTTGTTGCTGTTTCCTCCCCATTCTCCCTGCTCTTTATACAACCTTATCTCAAGCCCAGAAACTCCGAGTGCACCATGGGTCGTTCACGTCACTCCAGTCCAACTGTTGCATCTTAGTGCCCATCCTCCCCTTCTCTGCCTCAATATTCCTACCCACGTTTAGTGCTGTATCAAGAGGAGGGTGAGGGTGATGGATTGGGAGTAACCTGACAATGAAAAAAAAAATGTTGACAATTTCATAATTGGAAGTGACATTACTAGAGAAAAACTGATCACAAATTTCTTTAACCTAACCTATCTTAAGGCTGTCTTTTCTTTTCCAAATGATCCTAACTTAGAAAACTTGGTATCATATAAGACTTCATGGCATATATTTTTACTGTTGGGGTAATTAAAATAGGCTAAAAATCTTAGGCTATTATCAGACTGGTTGGTCATATATAACATATGTATAACAAATTGACTGAAATATGTATGTGTGTGTATATATATAGTTTATGTATTTTATATATATATGTATGTATATATGGTTTTTTCTCCACATAAACTTTTTCTTAATTTGTGCAAATATATGGAGTACATGAGGAATTTTGTTACATGTATATATGGCTAGTGATCAGGTCAGAGTATTTAGGGTGTCCATCACCAGAGTACAATACATTTCTGTTAAGTATAGTCACCCTTTCCTGCTATCCAACATTGAGTTTATTCCTTCAGTCTTATTGTATGCCTGTACCCTTTAACTCTTTCTCTTCATCCTCCCCTCTCCCCACTACCCTTCCCAGTTTCCGTTAACTTTCCACTCTCTACCTACATATGATCACAAATTTTAGCTCCCATATATATGTGAAAACATGGAATATTTGTCTTTTTGTGCCTAGCTTATTTCACTTAAGATAATGATTTACAGTTTCATCCATGTTGCTGCAAATGACATGATTTCTTTCTTTTATGGCTGAGTAGTATTACGTTGTGCATTAATACCACGTTTGTAAAAGTAAATAATGCTTATAACAGCTATTATTTATTGAAAACCTATTCATGGGCTGGAGGGATGTGCTAAATGCTTTAAGTGCTAAATGCTTTATGTACATTTGGCATGGCAATAACTTTATAAGGTAGGTTCTATTTTTATTGCCCTGTTTTAAAATGAGGGAAATTGAGGCTCAGAAAAGGTAGTGACTCCTCCATTGTCACACAGCTAGTAAGTGATAAAGTCAAGGTGTGAATCCCTGTGTGACTCTAATACTTTCATGACTTAAGACTATATTATTCAACAAACATTTTTTTTGTTTCCTTCTCTTAAAAACCACGTAAACTACCTCTGTTGTTGGAATTTTATCTGCATTGTCTTCTGTGCTTCTTAAAGATAACCGGAATTGATAAATAAAGAAATACTGAATGCAAATTATGTGCAGCACTGTCTGTATGATATTTAAAGGCAAATATATCATCTCTGGGACCTATTTTTTAAACATTTCTTTTAATTAATACTTATGAGATGCAGTAATATGTACTCACAAGTTTTTTTGTGTTTGGTAAAAACATCCACATAAATCTCCACTTTTTGTTAATATAAATATGTAATATTTTAATATAATAATATGTCTATAGGGAGTGGTCAGATTACTATCATGTATTGATAAATGAACTAGGTTACATTCATCTGGAATATTATACCTGAAACAGATTTCTTTTATGCTAGGCTTTCAAATTTCTCTAAGCTCTTTAACGCTGTACAAACAACTTCCAGACCAAAGGCAAGATATATTGAAAGATGTACAGTTTTGTATATGAACTTGCAATTTTGAACTTCCTTTGCATCTGGTTACTTCCATGTTCAGGAAAATACAATATCTGCTAATATATAACATCATAAATAGTGCATTTATTGTTGAAACAGTAGCTGCAATGGCATGTGATAAAAATGTCAGGTGTCTGCATAGTTTTCTGAGTGTTGGGATCCTAGTTAGGTACTTCGGTTACCTCTGAGGGCCACTTTCTATGTGAGTATGAATATGTTGTCAGTCCTTACCAAGATATTGCTATGTTTATTACAGGTTTTTGCTTTGTATTAGACTGCCTGTCTCCCTACCCTAGATCCCCCTCCATTGGATGAGGTCTTACATGAATGGCTTCAGGGCACTGTCTCATGCTGTTCTCTAATTACTTAATGTATTTACATTTTGTTTTCCCAATCAGATTGTAAGCTCCTCGGAAGGTTACATGTTTCCTACTTCTTTCGCACCATCACACTGTTCTAGGTAAGCAGTAAATGGTTTATAAAACTTGGGATTGGCTTGTTGATAAGTAAAGAGAACTAAAAGAGAGAAAGGAAATTGAAATATCCAACAAGTAGCAGATATTCTGAAATTAAATTACTTGAAGTGGAGAAACTGAGGGACTGGAATTGAATTGTAGTAATGCCACATAACTTGTTTGAATTTACATAGATACCTATGCTGACCTATTTTGACCTATATATCTGTATATACATAATTTCAAACAAGTTATGTTATACTATTATATATATCTATTTTCATTTACATTTATATATATATATGTTTCCTTGAACCATCGGATGATTTCATCAACTGGGTCTGTCCACTTTTCTAATCTATGAATGAAAAAATGAGATGTCTAGCCAATACTCATGATAGATTACCAATTAAAAATTAAGGCAGAATATTTGTTATTTCCCTGTGGTATCATGAATATAAACTTGTGTCTAAATGTGATTTAAATTATGTTAAAAGTGCTAGATTTTATGTCCAAAACTAAAATAGTCTCAGGAAAAATATACTGAAAGTTGAGAAAAAGGTGGGGCAATAGTAAGACGGGTGGATCAGTAACAAGTCTGTTTGAATAAATT